CAAGTGCTGGGTTTAAAGATATGTTCCAACATGCCAGGCTCTAACTAGTTTTTTATTCAACTTTTCTTTCTCTTATTTACATAATAGAAAATTAAAAACACCTTTAAACCTCTGTACTGTGAGACAGAAGAGTAGAAAGATCAGTTATATTTAGGTTTCTGTGGGGCTGGAGAGATGGCTTAGTGCATAAGAACACTGGCTGCTCTTGCAGAGGACTTGGGTTTGATTTCCAGCACCCACATGGCGGCTAACAACTGTCTGTAACCTTGGTTCCAGGGGATCCTATGCCTTCTTATCTCCTTGGGCATTGCATGACACAGGTGCACTTATACATATACAAGCAGTACACTCAAACACGTAAAAAATAAAATTAAAAAAAAAGTTTAGGTTCCTATTTGGGAACCAGTATTTAACCACTTCATTGTTCTAGGCATTAGGTGTACAATGGTGAGTAAAAATGAGCATGATTGCTCTCATAGAATTTACAGTTCAGTGGAGGAAACATTGAATATTGCTAGTATACAGTTGCAATTTAAGGAGATTCATAGACTTGCAGGTCAATACTAGGAAAAGTTGTGTGTGCACCCTTACACACATGTGCACCCACATACATTAACACATACATGCATGCATACATACACTAACACTCCCACACATATGTTTGCAAAATAGAAGAGGAGGAGGAGGTTGAGGAAGCTGCTTACCAGAAAGAGTCAGGAAGTTCAGGGAGGATGTCCTTGAAGAAATTATACTTAACTTGAGAAGTACTTGATAAAGAAATAAAGTGTAACAGAGAATATAGCCCATTCAGCATTTGCATAAAAGCTCTGAAGCTAGAAAAAAAAAATGGCTCTTAAGTAATCAGGGTGTGGTTGATTGTAGTGGCTGTTCATAAATAAGTTCATGGTGCATTGATTGCTAAGTTGCAAGAGAATTCGTTGGCCACCACAATAGTTAAAAGTCTCTGGCAATATTCATATTTTGAACAGCTTCAAGAAAGACAAAAAAAACTAAACGATAGTACAGTTAGCTGGTGCCTTGAAATTGATGAGGATAGGACACAAAGTGAACAGGTGATTATTGAGCCACCAGGGACAAAGTATGAAAATAACATGCATGGCCCCAAAGTACAATGTGGACTTAAATATCTAGGACCTTCTCTATCAGTTAGATTTATACCAAAAATTAATAGGAAGGTTCAGGCGTGGTGGTACAGCTGCAATCCCAGCATTTGGGAGGTAGAGGCAGAAAGATCAGGAGTTGAAGGCCACCTCCAGCCACATAGTGAATTTGAAGCCAGCTTGCTTTCAAACAACCAGCCCACTCTCCAAATGTACAGTGTTAGCAAAATGGCGGAATTCATTCAACATTAAAGTTATCTTTTAAGACATAAGACCTGTAATGATGACCAGAGAAAATATGAAGCTTCCGAAACTCCCAGGACAAACATAAAATAATTAATTTTAGTGGATATCAAACTTGTGTTAAGTAAACAACCTTCTGTTCATACTAATATCTTAAATGCCATCAGCAAAATACACTTTAAGTAAACTAATTCTAGTTGGTAAATGACCCAGACATTTATAAGAATATATTTGTTAATATATATTAAGTATATACAGGTAACGGGAGGAAAAATGCAGCACAATTTTTCTTTCTCTTGTTAAGGCTCTGTCATTTAAGCATGAACCTGGAGTATTCAGTAAAATTCAGGTTTCCATGATGAAAACATGGCAAGAAGTGTCAGATGGCAGTGGAAATATGTGCTTCTGAAAAGTAAAATCTCAAGAAGGAAAAACAGAAGTGACATGCTTTATCCATCTTACTTAGTGAAAGAGCTGCAGTTGAAATTGTTTAAAGAGCAGGTACAATGAATATTGTCACAAATTGTGTTGATTTTTGAAGGGATGTGGGTGCTGACTACTAATGGTCTCAAAAATATATTAAGTCTGGGTATGGAAGCTCATGCCCATAATCCTAATACTTGGGAGACTGAGGTAGGAGGGTTGCTATGAGTTTAAGACCAATCTGGGCTCTAAGATCAATTTGGAGTATAGTAAGAGGTCCTGTCTCAAATCCAAAATAATAATAATAATAATAATAATAATAATAGTAGTAGTAGTAGTAGTAGTAGTAGTAGTAGTAGTAGTAGTAGTTCAGGATTATTTTGATATTTGTATTTGTAATAAGGAAGAAGGTGTTGATGAATTTCTTTTGAAACTGTTCTGATGTATATAACCAACATGGTAAGTGTGTAGTCTCTTTTTAATAAAGCTTGTATTTTAAGTTTAAATGAAGTCAATAAAAAGGAAATGGATGTATAGATTTATGATTTTTTAAAATTTACTTTGTTTTGCCTTTAAATTTTTTGCTCCCTCTGTGTGTGTGTGTGTGTGTGTGTGTGTGTGTGTGTGTGGCCATATGAGTGCTACAGTTCCAGTTTAGAGATCACAGAATAACATCAGGGAGTTGGTTCCCTCCTTCTACTTATGTGAGATTGAACTCAGGTTGTCAGGCACAACAGCAAATGCCCTATGCCATCTCACTGGCCCTTTGTTTTGTATTATTTAAGACTGGATTTCCTATAGCCAAGTCTAGCCTTGTGCTCTATATACAGCCCAGGATGGCTTTGAACTGATCTGTGTGCTTTTACCTTCTGAGTGCTGAGATTATGGACATGACCATGGATATGTATTTTTGAGATTAATGTTAGACTTAATATGTAGTAAATGAAATGTTTAATCAAGAAAACAAAAACACCCAACTTGCATAGAAAAACTAGGCAAACAGTTCCTCTAGGTCTTTTGAGGCCCTCATTGTATATATTCCTTATATTAGTTGCTGCTGGGCATGTGGTGTACACCTTTGATTCCCAGCGCTCAGGAGTCAGAGGCAGGTAGATCTCTGTGAGTTCCAGACCAGTCTGGTCTATATGGCATGTTTCAGGCCAGCCAAGAATACTTAGTGAGACCCTGTCACAACCCCCCCACAAATGTCAGTTGTATATATGTAAGTTCAAAATTTATTCTAAAGCCAATTTATTTTGGCATTCTCTATAGTTATAACTTAGAGTGAATAAAAATTATTGTCTAATCAACATGTATAACAAAAAAATCAAAGCATAAAAAATTTTTACTGGAGGTTAAGGAACAATATACAATTTAGATTTCAAAAAGGCACTTCTTTAGTCAGATGTAGTGGAGTATGCCCATAAACCTAGTGTTCCTGGAGGCTAAAATGGAACAGCAATGAATCTGAGGCCTGAGGACCCTGTCTCAAAATGACATTTAAAAGAAAATAAAGTCCCTTTTGGAGTGGAACTCCTTCTACTGCTATCCAGTTTAAACTTGCCAGTGAGTTGGTAACTCACACTTATTTTCTCTTACTGTTATTTTTCCTGAGTTATAGATTAAGTACAGTAAATTGTATTCAATTGTCAGAACACCTTTCTTTTTTTCTTTTTTTCTTTTTTCTTTTTTTTTTTTTTTTTTTTTTTTTTTTTTTTGGTCGTTTTGAGACAGGGTCTTCCTGAAGCTCCACCTGGCCTGGAACTCACTATGTGGACCAGGCTGGCCTAGAACTCAGACAGATCTTCCAGCCTCTGCCTCCCAAGTGTTGGGACTAAAGGCGTGTGCCACCATCCCTGGCTTAGAGTACCTATTTTTAAGCTGATTGTGTGGCAGCTACATGATTTTCTGAGTTAATTTAAAATAAGAAATAAAGCCTTCAGTAATCAGTTGCTCAGCCCTTTCTTAGTAATAAAATAGCTGGAACAGCAGAATTCATGTTTACATACATAAAGAAAGAGAATAGGCAAGATAACTCTTCACAGAAGCAAAGTTATCAGTTATATTTCAGTACTTAGGGGAATATAGTGTACTTACCGTACAAGCAAGTTCCTTTCAGTGCCATTTGATATAAGGCCTGGTTAGAAGCTGTTTTATCATTGATTTGTCCGGCTGGCAAACTTCTTAGAAAAGAATAAGGATATTTTTGCTATTGTAAGAATATATCTTTTGTCTTTGACTATTCAACTGTTTATTTTCTACTTTTTTTTGGCCTTTTTGAGACAGGATCTCCCTGCCAGGACCATGTGCTGGGATTAAAGGCGTGCGCCACCACACCTGGCTTATTTTCTACTCTTAAATATTCTACCCATTGGTATATTTTTATATTTCCCTTTACTTCTAAAATACTATAATAAATAGTTTCTTTAGTAATTTTTTTTCCATCTTTTGGTATTAAAAAGTGTGTGTGTGTGTGTGTGTCTGTAGGTGTATGTACATGTATGCATGTAAAACTATGGGAATCGGTTATCTCCTTCGACCTTTTGGTAGAATTCTTGGTGGCTTCTAATAGAAGATCAGGATCCTTTTAATCACCTTACAAAACTAAGCTTCCTCTTTTTTTTCAGTTCAGTTGAATAATTAATAAAAATATTATTTTAATCTTAGAATTTTAAAAAATGGCATTATTTCTCTAGGGACCAAACTAAACATTAGCTTTATTATCTTTAGTGATTATTGTTTGATATGCAAGGTTGAACTAGCTCATAAAAGGTTATACTATCCAGTGCAGACAGAAATTAGTCCTATTTATTAGAGGGATTGAAATAGGTAGTATAAGTAACTACATTGAGTGTAAATGGTAAATCCTCACTGTTGCTGGGCATGATGGCTCATGCCTTTAATTCCAGCACTCCAGAGGCAGAGGCAGGTGAATCTCTATGAGTTCAAGATCTACATAGAGAGTTCTAGGTCAGCCAGGGCTACATGGTAAGACCCTGTCTCATAAGGACAAAAAAAAAAGAAAAAAGAAGAAGGAGAAGGAGAAGGAGAAGGAGAGGAGGAGGAGGAGGAGGAGGAGGAGGAAGAGGAGGAGGAAGAAGAGGAAGAAAAAGAAGAAAGAACAAAAATTCTCATTGTTTTTCATATCATTAGTAGTAAGTCCTTAAAATAGATGTTTAATTATTGACACTGACAGTTCTGTTTCTTTAACAGGAACATGAGTCTGAAGGTGGAAGAACGCCTTTGATGAAAGCTGCAAGAGCTGGTCATTTGTGCACTGTTCAGTTTCTTATTAGCAAAGGTAAAAAAAACAAAATGCGATTGTTTCTGAAAAGCTACCATTTCTGAGAAAAAATATTTCAGAGCTCTTGTAATTATGTAAAGACTACTTAGTAATTACAAGTATTGTATTGTAGTCTATTGTTGGTGTATTTTATGTAGTAAACATGGTTTGTGAGGTGCTTACTGAGAATTTTCTTTATTCTTGAGTTTTGTGTCATCAGTCAAACAGCTGTTGCTGTTTCTGGGTAAATGCTGAACACTTTATAAGGCAGCTTTGCTGGGCAATAAGGGTGGCAGATAGAGAAGGGTCTGTTGTATTTTTTTGTCATACAGTTGAATTAACAGTATACAGAGGTCCTTAAAAAAATACATTCTTTGAGAAATTCCATTACTAGAGGAGTATTTATTTTGGTTCAATAGATGGAACAATTAGTTCAAGACTAATGACTATAGAATATGAAATGGTATTTTATAGCTTGAAAATGTTAATGTCAATAATTTTGTTCGATTTGGCCTTTTTTAAAAAAAAAAAAATGTTTTGGTCTTTATGAGACAGGGTCTGCCTGTAGTCCCAACTGGCCTCGCCTAGAACTCACTATGTAGACAAAGCTAGCCTCAATCTCACAGAGATCCACCTGCCTTTACCTCCCAAGTGATGGGTTTACAGACATGCTGCTAGCCTAACTTTTTAATACAGGGTCAGAGATACTCTGGCTTCAGGTGAAAGATCTAGGCCAGATACAAAATGCAAGGAAGATCCACTTGTGGTATCATTAAAGCAAATATACTGTTTTTCAATAGAATTCTGGTACTTTGTAACATAAAAATGCAATATGAGAATTTATCATATATGCCAGGCGTGGTGGCACATGCCTTTAATCCCAGCACTCGGGAGGCAGCAGCACGCAGATCTCTGTGAGTTTGAGGCCAGTCTGGTCTACATAGCAAGCACCAGGCCAGCCAAGGCTACAGGGAAACCCTGTCTAAACTGCCCTCCCCCACAAAAGGAATTTATCATTTATAATGTATTTGTTTTCGGACTGAAGAGATGGCTCAGCAGTTAAGAGGCCTGGCTGCTCTTGCAGAGGACCCAGGTTTGATTACCAGCACCCACATGGCGGCTAGCAACCATCCATAACTCTAGTCCCAGGGAAATCTGATGCCCTCTTCTGACCTCCACAGGCATTGCATGACATGGGTACACTTATAAACAAGCAGACAATACAGTCATACACAAAAAGTAAAAAAAATGAATGAAATATTAATAATAATGAGTTTGATTTCTTTAATTGTATAAAACTAGATTTATTTTCTTCCTATTACATTTTTGCTGCCAAATAAGGCATATCTTATTTAAAAAAATTTTCCTGAATTTTTATACCCCCTTCCCCTTTGGTATCTTCCCATAGGTCTCCCACTCCCCACTGTAGATCATACATTCTGTCACTTCTGTTAAGGCCTACCATGTCAAACCAGGATCCCAAGATGTCCCTAAGTGCACTGGGATCTAGTCAGCATATCTGGCTGGAGTCCCTCAATTTAAGAAGATGAGCTCGGGCTGGAGAGATGGCTCAGCAGTTAAGAACAGTGACTATTCTTGCAGAAGACCTGAGTTCGAATCCCAGCACCCAAATGGCAGCTAACAACTGTCCATAACTCCAGTTCCAGGGGCTCCGACAGCCTCCTCTGTCCTCTGAGGGCATTGCACGACATAGGTGCACTTACCTACATGCAGGCATAACACTCATACACATAAAAATAATAAAATATTTTTTAAAAATTAAAAACAAAAACAAAAAAGATGAGCTCTTTCTCACCCATCCCTAACCAGCTGCCAATAATTCTTTGACTAAGATTGGGGCCTGCAATTCATTTCCACAGTTCTGTGCTGTTTTTGTCTGTTTAAGTTTGCATGGGTCTTGTGCATGGTGACACCATTGCTGTAGGTTTGTATGAGAAGGGTCCCGGGAGTCTGTAGTACTATTTCCATATGTTCATGCATCTCCTCCCTGGCTCTTACAATCTTTCTGCCCCCTTTTCCACAATGGTCCCTGAACCCTGGGTGGGTGGATTTTAATATAGGTGTCCTGTCCAAGGACTCACACTCTGTAAACTCTTAATTCTTTGCATTTTGGCCATTTTTTTCCTTTTGCATTCCTGGCTCTCTGTTGCATGAGAAAGCTTCATTGATGAGAGTTAAAAGATGCATTAGGCCTGATTTGGCCTCCACGGAGTGTAGGGGCTGAGACCTCAGCTGACCATCTGAGAGTGCCTGGATCCAGCCTCCATGAGGGTGGTGAGCTTCCCCAAATGGTGCCACACCCAGCCCCCTAACTGGGATCCCATTGCCTGAGGGGTAGACCCACCCTACTGTAGGACACAGACCCTAGGAGACCTGAGATTGTCTGATCTGGCCTCCAGCTGAGAACTCAGCAAACAGCCTGAGAGCACCCATCTGGCCTCTCTGATGTAGGGTCTGAGAACTCAGCAAATGGCATGAGAGTGCAAAAATCAGGCCTACCCTAGTGAACTTCCCAAATTGTACTCTGAGTACTTGCTAGTAGGGGTCCAAATGCTAGAAGGAAGCCTGACCTAACTGGAGCCTGACTTGGGCCTCTCTGGGAGCTTCTGAGTAGCTGATCTGAAGGTATCAGTTCCCTCCAAAATAAAATCTGAGAGGACCTGAAATCTAGACCAAGCAGCTTTACATACCCAATAAGAAAACAACCAAGGCACACCAATAATACAAACAGAAGCAGACTTCAGCTCAACAAAGGAAGGCTTGAGTTTCGTACCAGAATCACAAAGAACAAAAGAAATCCACATATGAAAAGCTCAGTGGAAAAATAATAACAGGGAAACCAAAACAGTATGTTCCCACCAAACTCCACCAGTCCTGTAGAAGAGTTCTACAAAGAGAACTCCCTAGAGATAATCCAGGACATAGGACTTAAAAGAACAGTCATAAACATGATCAAGGAATTCAATGAATTTAAAGAACACACAAAGAACTAAAAGAAGATAGGGATAAACTGACTCAATGTACAAAAGAGAAACATTGAAGAAAACTCAGGCTGAAATGAAGAAGGAAGTGAAAAACTTAGTAAGCCAATTTGGAACAACAGGAGAAAGTCTCACCACTAGAATGAATAAAATGGAAAACAGAATATCAACACTGGGGGATAAAGTTGAAGAATTGGACCCCTCAAGCAACAATCATTAAAATTTTTTTAAAAAACACAGGAATGGTATATGTAGGAAATGTGGGACACCATGAAAAGACCAAATCTACATATCATAGGCATAGGGGAAGGACAATTTCAAGTTAACGGTATTAACCAAATCTTAAACAGGGTTGTAGAAGAGAACTTCCCAAAATTAAGGAACAACATCCAGATACAAATACAATAAGCACATAGAACACCAAAGAGACAGGACCAGAAAAGAAACTCCCCACATTATATCATAGTAAAAACACTAAATGTACAGAACAAAGAGAGAATACTGAAAGCTGCAAAAGAAAAACAACAACTCACATATAAAGGAAAACCCATCAGAATTACAGCTGTCTTATCAGTGCAAACTATGAGAGCCAGAAGAACTTGGACCAAGGTATTTCCAGTTCTAAATGACCATAGATGCCAACCCGGAATACTTTATCCAACTCTTCCACGACATGAATAGGCTGAAAGAATACATGTCCACAAAACCAGCCCTTCAAAGAATACTTAAAGCAATACAAAGAATGGAGAAATAAACAACTATATGCCAGGGGCAACAGAAAGAAACTAAATGAAGGTATAATTGTGGAAACACAAAAGTAGACAAAGAATGCAAACAGTAATTAAAATGATGACAACCAATACACACCTTTCAATTATAACTTTAAATAACAGTGGACTGAACTCCCCAGTCAAAAGACACAGGCTAGTTGAATGGATTAAAAAACAAAATAAATCTTTTTGTTGCCTGCAAGAAACCCATCTTACCATCAAGAGCAGGCACTACCTTAAGGTGAAAGGGTGGAAAAGAATATTTCCAGTAAATGGCACTAAGAAACCAGCAGGGGTTGCAATTCTAATATCTGACAAAATAGACTTCAAACTTAGAGTAATCAGAAGAGATAAAGAGGGTCACTTCATTCTGATCAAAGGAACAATTGACCCAGAAGATGTTACAATCATGAACATATATGCACCAAACTCTGGTGTACCCAAATTCATAAAAACAACACTACAGGACTTTTAAGACACAGATTAACCCCAACTAAGTAGTAGTAGGGGACTTAAATACTTCACTGTCTCCATCAGACAGATCAGCCAGACAAAGAATAAACAGATGTCTGAATTAAATGATACCATATATCAAATGGACCTAATAGATATCTACTGAATATTCCACCAAGCACCAATGATTACACTTTCTATTCAGCACCCCATGGAACTTCCTCAAAAATTGATCACATACTGGTCACAAAATAAACCTCAACAAGTACAAAAGCATTGAAATAATTCCATGTATTCTATAAGACCACAATGCAACAAAGCTTAAAGTCAACGCTGAGGAAGATCTAGTCACTGCATGAACTCATGAAGATTAAACAACACACTCCTGAATGATGAGTAGGCCTGTATTAGTTACTTTTCTGTTGCTGTCATAGAAACACTGACCAAAGCAACTTATAAAAGGAAGAGTTTATTTGAGCTTACACTTCCAAGGGGCAAGAGTCCATTGTGGCAGGGGGGCATGGTGGCAGAGGTGGCTGGAGTAGGAGCAGAAGCTAGGGTCTACATCTTCAAGCAGGCACGGGAAGCAAGAAAGAACCTGGAGATCCAGCAAGTCTTAAGAACTCTCTAAGTCCACATGTGCCCAGTGACATGCTTCCTCCAGAATGGCCACACCTTCTGCGACCTCCCAAAACAGCACCACACACTGGGGACAAAATGTCCAAATTTTCCTCTTCCTGCCCTCTAGTAGACTGGACCTGAGTCACCAGTTCTCCTGGTTCTGATGCTGGTT